CAGACACACACAATAAAATGCATTAAGTGACAAAACAAGAAATAAGAGAAACAAAACAAAACAAGATAAAAGATAAAACAAAGAACAAGAAACACTGGCATAATAATACATTATTTATACTTATAATAACAACAACAATAATAAAAGTAATAAATAATAAACTTATATTTTATGTTTTGATATTATTTATTTTATTAGTTATTTTTTGGTTGCTTTTTTTCCCAGCTAGGCTCTGTTGTTGCACTTTATGTCCTCCCTTTTAAGCTTTGCTTTATAATGGTAGTAATAATAATCTTATTATTGCTTTTTGTTTTTTGGTTTTTGTTTTTTGTTTTTTATTTTTGTTTCTGGTTTTCAGTTTGTTTTTTGCTCTTAAATTAGATTTTAATAATAAATAAACAACATGTGTATCATACAGCTCCAAACTTTTGTCGATTAAAATTTTGTCAAATTCATCTGGGTTTTTGTATAACTGACAAAAAATTTTTATTGGCAAAATTTTTGCTCCACATAGATAGTATGCTGAATTATAAAAAATTTAAATTAATTTTAACAAAAATATTTTTATGATATTTTTGACTGACAAAAGTTTGGAGCTATACAATATCCTATGTCAAAACAGCTGAAGTAGTCCTATTGTTAAAAACATGTTATTGTCTTAAACATTGTGTAGGATATTGCGTCAAAATAGCTGTTATAAAAGTGTAATTAGAACTATCATAATTGAATATTAGGTTAATATAGCCTTTATACTATAACACAAATACCATCAACTATCATGACAAACACAATAAACACAGGATCCTACACAAAGTTTAGAGTAATAGCTATCACTACATACAATAGTTGGGAGTGAAACTAAACAAACTACTCACACAATCACACAAATGACAAAACAAGCTATAAATGGTATTATGCAAGGAAACTAAATTTAGAATAATGATAAGTAAGCAGAATTTAATTTAAGAAGAATATATTACTTATTAATATCTTTTTAACTTACCAACACTAGCTCTTAACTCAAATAGTCTAAAACATTCAGCTACAAAATTCTCTCTGAATCATCTCAACCTGACAATCAATTGTTTTGTTCCATTTTATAATTTTTGTTAATAAAACTCGATCCAACAAACTTCTTTGTGAGATACTACGAGAAAGTTAACAAATTTACATACAGTAACCATATATTATTTTCTTACCCTGTAAATGTACTAGAATAAAATTAGTTTTTATACATAATGAAAATGTTGAATCTATTATGTAAAACACATAAAACATTATTATAATACAATAGCATACTATACCAGCATAATACATGTAAACAGCTGGGGAAAACAACTATGTAGATAACACTGAATTCTTTTCTCATCATACAACACTACATTTCAATGCAGTATGTCAATGAAATACTTCACTAGTCTATAACACACAATTAGTAGCCATGAGATGCATTGAATCAAAAGATAGCCAGTGAATGATGAGTAACTAGAGAAGACAGGTTAGCAAATATAAATACAAAGTATATTTATAAGTCGGGAATTTTAGTCACAGCCTAGCAGCTGCATGCATGTATTGCAATTCACTAATCAGGTTACTCTACTCAATCATCAGTTAATTAGTTTAATTATTCAACCTCATTCAATTTACTATCATTAGAATAAATTATTGAGTTAATTGAAACTAAAGTGAGTAGCAACACACTCCATTAACATAGACAGAGGGAGTGTGTTGCTTCCTCTGACTCACCCCAATTAATTCAATAAGTTATGCTAACAGTAACCTTATAAATTTAATGGTATTTTAAAATAATGGCATCTCCTCAGATGACCATAATTTGAGTAAACTGAAGTTGGAATCTGCTCAAACTTTCTACATAGCATAAGTACATCAATATGTATCAGAAAATGTAATAAAAATTTGGGGTAATTTCGGAGCCATTTTTTGGAAAAAACCATGGGCTACAGGGATTTTTTTAGATTTTGGCCCATTTTTTAAAATGGCCGTAACTTGAAAAATTGAATTCGGAATCAGCTCAAACTTTCTACACAGCATATGTACATCAATATGTATCAGAAAATGTAATAAAAATTGGGGGTGATTTTGGAGCCATTTTTTGGGAAAAAACCATGGGCTATAGTACAGGGATCTTTTCAGATTTTGGCCCATTTTTTAAAATGGCCATAACTTTAAAAATTGAAGTCGGAATCAGCTCAAACTTTCTACACAGCATAAGGACATCAATATGTATCAGAAAATGTAATAAAAATTGGGGGTGATTTCGGAGCCATTTTTTGGAAAAAAAACAATGGGCTATAGTACAGGGTATTTTTTTACAGAAATTGTCATAATTGAACTAACCTTGGAGTATTGACATGAAGCTTCTTCCTAGTAGCCTTAAACATTACAAATAATGTAATAATAGAGAATATTGACCATACGATGATCATCCTCCAGAAACTTAACTGAACACACAAATAAAATGGAATTATCCACATGCCTAATAAGGTAATGGCCTAAGAGAGAAAGGAGGAGGAGGAGAGAAATTAAAATTATCAATATTATATACTATATAGGGCCACATCTGATGCTGCTGAAATACAGTGTAAGCAATAATTATGGAGGAACTAGCTAACTTGTATAAAATGCACATTTATATACTAACTATTATCATTATGTTATTTATACCTTATTATTACCAACACATAAATGTACATTATTAGTATATCATTAGTACATTACTGTATATTATTAGTACACCATTAGTATATTATTAGTATATTATTACATGTACATGTATGCTGTGTCTACCTGGTAGGATTTCCTGTGTTTTATTCTCCATAAGAAGAGGAGTACTTGTGCTACTCCAATAGAAGCAAACAGTATTAATATCATTTCAGCATGCATCAGGTCATGACCTCTGTGCTTCTCCTCTATCATTCGATGAGCGTAACCTTTGAAATATAGAAAATTATTTCTTTATAATTAATACATTGCATTAGTTATGTATCAAGATATGGCTGTAGCTCTTTAGTCCTTAGACTTATTTTACAAGAATTTTCGGCCAAAATTTTTTAACAATATCCAGCAAATTATAAATATGTATCTGGTAATTAATGGGTTGTTTAGGAAATTATTGTGTCTGAACAAATTGTGTGATTTAATTTTATGTAATTATACATTATTGATTGCGGTACTACTAATTATTATTCATGATCTGAGTAATTACTGTATTTAATTTATTCATAATACAACAACTGAACTACATCAAACCTGTGTCTCTCCTCAGGACTGAATTTAGACCATTCTATCTTGTCTCAATCAAAAGATGTAGACTATTAATGATACAACAGTATACATGAATGAATATATAGCAGCTGCTACTTACTGCAACAGTGGAATGGGTAGACAATGTAGCCTCTTCTGACATTATTTTTTTAATTTTTAAGACATGTGTGATGGGGTGGAGTTTGAATTTTAAAACTAATAGTAGCACGTGATATTTACAAGTCATGTGCAGTCACGTGGATCATTATGCATTGCAAACCATGGGCTCCTGTTCTTACAGCATACAAATTAAATTTTAGTAAAAAAGCTATAG